AAGGAGATTCTAACCCGCAAGCCATGCCTGTGACTATTTGGTTCACAGTGTTTCTTTAGAACAGCAACTTTCATAGAGCAGGCACTCCACAATTTCTTTTCAATGTTTAATGAATGAAGTACCAAAGCAAATGCAGAGCCTCAAGCAATGGGTAAGAAGCAGTAAGCTGAAGTACTATACAGAGCAGATAATATTTCAGTGACTTTATAAGAATATTACACCTCCAGAAGTCCTATTTTACCATTATAAATGATCAAATGATGTTATTTTACCATTACCTTGATTTCTTCTCTTTTTTCGGGGGGTGGGCAGAGTCTTGCTATGTAGTCCAGACTGTCCTTGAATGCATGGTGAACCTCCCACCTCAATCTCCCAAATGCTAGGGTTACAGGCATGTACCACCATGCTGATTAGTTTTATTTCTTTCATATTGATTTTAGAAACATCCAGTAAAAGCAGACATTTTAGTAGTCGTGTATGCACTGTTATTGAATACATAGCTTTTTTGTGGTGCTGGGGATAACTCAGGACCTCAAGCATGCTAGGAAAGTGCTCTACCATTGAGCTATATATGCAGTACCCTCATAGCTTTCTTGAATACAGTAATTTGAGAAATTTTCAGAAAAAACTGTAAGTCACTCGTTCTTAAATAATTCCTTGCTTAACAATTGGTATATAAGTTGACTAAAATTTTAAGGTGACATAAAAGTTTACTAACCATATAGAGAATTTACATCTTCATATTTTCACGGAGCCGACTAACGGTGGCTTTTTTCACAATCTTTAAATGAGTCACTAATTGCTGGGGAGTGGAGATTGCAATAGATATTTTGGAAATAAAGTTGATAATATGCATAAAATCTCACAATACTCATAGATTTGACTTATTTTTAGAAGTCTGTACTAAAGAAACACAAAACAGGAAATGTATAGGAAATTCTCTATAAATAAAATATTGGTTACTTATAGTAACACAGTAGCAGGAGCATAAAATAAATAATTAAAGTCTAGTTAAGAAATTTATGGGAAATACTTGAGTGGAATTACAAGGAAATTGTGGGATCTAAAGGCAGTGACCTCATGTAAAATCTGAGTCTTTGCTACTTGTAATAAGATTAGTGTCAAGAAGGTCAATTATTGGAAGTTAGTGCTAAACAAAGATATTTGAAGAAAAAAGATCACAAATACAAATGAAATTGATGAAGAGGAGCATATATTTTAACTTCAATACACTTGTAAGGGTTAAGCATATGATTACTTGAAAAATAGTATCGCTTGTAAGAAAGGGTACTGATATTATTAGAAGTGTTGACATCTAAAAAAAAAATCATTCTTTCTAGGAAAATTTGCCAAGCATACAGAAATGCCAACAGTAAAACCAAAAATTTCAAAGTCGGTGGAACAATGAAGGAGCTAATTTCCACCCATCCAATAAGCTCCACCCCACATACCATCCTTATAACCATGAATAATGGCCACAATTAATTATGCATGATTGAAAAGCGAATGCAGCAGGTAAAATTCAAACAGGACTGCAAGCACTTACGTGAGAGGAAGAAGAATCATAAACAAGTCTGGGATCTTCATTATTGGCACATGCAACCACAGACGGATCACCACACAGAAGATCCTGAGGCGGAGCTACTTCCGGAGTCACGTTCAGAAAATTAAACTCTGTTTTAGCTGATTGTGAGGCAACGCACATTTTGTAGGAATAGGGTATTGTTCCCTCACTGTAATTGGGGTGAATCGCAGATCCAGACTTAGAGCTGAGACCAGGCTGAAAACACCTCCCGGAAGCTGCGCTGGAAGAGTGCCTCAGGTGCACAGCAATTGCTAGAATCACAGCGAGAAGGAAGAGCACAGAGATCAAGGCCAAGGCCACCACCAGGTAAAACTGCAGCTCCTCCTGAGGGTCAGGGGGCGCAGGCCCTTCACTGAGGTCCGGTAAGACCTCTTGCAGGCTATCCGCGAAAATGAGGTGCAACGTGGCAGTAGCGGAAAGAGGAGGCTGTCCACCATCGCGCACTGCGACCAGCAACCGGTGTCGGGCAGCGTCTTTATCGCCTAAGGAGCGAGCTGTGCGCACCTCGCCCGTGCGCAGCCCCAGGCTGAAGAGCCCAGGGTCGCTGGCCTGTAGCACATGATAGGACAGCCAAGCATTGTGTCC